CGAAACGCATAACGGCAACCAGTCATTGTTTGCTGCGCACACGCACGCACTGTTGAGGATGAATACTAGGTATATTTTTTTATTCTAGATACATTGTAACAGGTCTGGTGACTGCGTGAACTGCGTGGCTCAGTTACCAAGCTAGGAAAATTATGAGAAAAAGATGAGGATAACCAATATAGTAGGTTTTATACTGTAGACTGTTCTACTTCTACCGCGACAGTCTTGGAAATCTTGGAAGTTCTTACCGCTTTTTTCACGAGTATGACAAAGTGTCTATCGTCGGGATTTTCCACAACTTTATTCGAAAAAATAGCATCGAGTTCAAAATATTGTCGTAATTGGTTTAGTATTATTAAAAATGTACTAGTTTTCAAAAAAAGTAAAAAGAGCTCTTTGAAAATTGAATTCGGGATGACAATGTATCTAAAGATACGATAATATGATCTCTTGAAGATAAGATTACGTCTCCATTCAAAATTATCGTTGTATCTTTGGTTTTCTTGTCTAGATAATGTAGATAACTTGTAGAAGTATGAATAAATCTTTTAGATATGTAGGTACATAGTTTGCTTTTCTGTTTAAATGTGTCTGTTAACAACTCAATGTTGATTTATTATCATGCATTACATTGCGTATTCCTTGACGATCTTTGTATGTTATTGGTATATATTATTATTATTATATATCCCTTGACGAAATTTAAAAAACCAACGTAACAAATACATTTGTTACCAACTTAGGTACATAATGTAAGCTGGTTATATATTAAATGAAATTAATACGAATAAATCCGTGTCATCCTAATACCAAATCTATATGATAATATAATCTTATTTCGTTTTTGTCGTAAAATGGAATATCAAATTATTCTCAATCTTTGCAATCTTGTTCCTTCACACAAGTCGATAAAATTCAAGTTTTCCAATATTTCAGTTTATTTCTCAATATACAGCTTTGATCATGAATTTTTGACCACTTCGTGCGGACGTGACGAACGAATTATACCGAACCGTGGCTTACCGAATTGGTATTGAAAGATAAATACCTACTTTTACGTATAAAATTGATAATTCAGAATATCGCTTCAAATATCATAATTGCCGTCCAGAATAGGAATGTAATTAGTCAACAAATTACCGATTATAATCATTTAGCTTGATACCTAGATCCTTCAAATTAGGTAGGTAGTTGATGACAATGTGAATATGAATGAATAATAATTGCATACGAAGCCTAGGTGATAAAGACTTATCTTTCCTATAATGTGATTGTTACGAACTGGTGTCAGGATATGGATGCCAGGATTAAGATCATATACCATACAACTGATACATGCGCAGTTAGTAATAAACTGATCCAACTGAACACTGATTAATGCACCCATTGCTTTTTTATGTTAGAAAATCAACCAATGACTTCTACCACTTTGTGAGAAAAAAGAGGGAGCGACAAACTCTTGCTGATTTCAACCCGTTGCTTCTCCTGACTTTAAGCAACGGGTCCTTCTGCTCCGGACTTGGCTGCGGCACCAGCACAGTATTGCGCTTACACCCATGCTTAATTGCTTTAAAGTTTGAACCAACCATCAACGGTAATAGGGTGCACTGTTACAATCATTATCTTAACAAAGCTAACAGCACTTGTAACTTGGTAGAGCCGAAGAACGTTTCGTTCCTCAAGTGGGCATCGCTTCGTTTCACTTCATTTCGTGTTACATCGATCCCATTGTTTTTGCCAACGCCGAAAACATTTACTGCGCAACTTTTTGTCGTAAAAACAAATTATTTGGCAGTTCTTAGCAAATATATTCAGGTGTTCTTTTATTTTCAAATTGACGTAACTGCTTACATAAAGTCTAGCATGCTTATAATTAAAAATACCTTCATAAAATTATACAAAATGTAGATACAAAATGCCATATAGCAAAAGGATATAGTATAGTTACTAATATAAAAATAAGGCTTGAAAATTTTAAGGGTTTATTCCGTACCATAACAAGTCTGTTATTGCAATAATAAATAGTATATATACTTTATTAATATCAAGCTTCTCAGAACGGAAAGCCAACAATTCTTTACTTGGTTATTATATTCAGAAAAATTTTTCGTCTTGAAAATCTCACAGTAACCTATTATCAAATTTTGAGTATTTGTATTATAAAATACTTGACACTACCTTGGTAGGGTTGCGACAGGTTAAAAAAATTGTTTAAATTTTATTGGGTGTTTGTGATTGGTGTAAATGCTACTGTATTATTACGTACGTAGGTACTTTGTGCGTAAATTGTGATAGCCATTACGCACGTGTCAAGATAAACTGCTAATATACCATGTAATACAAACATAGTATGAAGTAAATAATTAGTATATAGCCAGTATGTTTGTTATGAACCCACTTTATCTCGGAAAATATGTACAATGAAAGGAAAACAGGGCTTAGTTTGTACAACATATAATTATCATATTATATCTAAAAATGAATTACTGTTCGTTAGTTTTGCTTAAACTCGGGAACGGCTGGTCTGTTTTACCTAATTCTGGTATTTAAATATTTGTAGAAGTCCAGGGAAGGTTTAAAAGATCAGAAAGCATTAGTTAATTGCGTGGTGGTACGGAGTTCGCCGGGTCAACTAGCAATAAATATATATCCAGAATAACTGAAAGTACTTAGGTATTTTGTACTTGACATTCAAGAAAAACAAGACACGGTACATTCAAATTAAATGCAGCTTATCTATTTCGCTACATAAATAAAACAGAAGTTTAAGTATATTAAGAGTGACAGTTTTCAATTAAAAAAATGCGAATACCAACAGCACTGAATGTACCTAAAATTGTCTTCGATTTTAGGTTAGGACGCAGGTTGCTGAACGCTGGCCTTTTCATGTATATTTTTTCCGTGACCATACAATAATGAGTTATTGCATGTTAAGTGCAGAATAAACATTGGTACGTGAAATCCCTTCAGACAAGTATCACGTTTTGTCCACATAAAAACGTGAAAGCACATAAAAGCACTTATGAGCAATTTTTCAAATCGATAATGATCCCTTATTATTCCTTTATGTCATTTCAACGTCACGTTCTCGGCATAAAACTTGTGATTTGCAATTTCGCTGTCTATATGGCTCTAATAACAGAAATTACAAATCGATTTGAATGAGATGCTTCTAAAACAAAAGACACGGTAAATAACGGGACCGCCTCGTATCATAGTGCATTGTTTTCTTATCTTTAGACATTGAAAAACATGTTTCTAAATACCTAAGTTTGTGGTACATGTTCTCTGCATATCATCACGTAACAATAGACTATTAAGGTGTGCTAGAGACGGGTGTAATCGAATACAAAAACCTAGTATTGTATTAATCCATCGTTTGATTGGCTTACTGCGTGCTTCTAACTCCAAAGCTCATAATTCAGGCCACGCCACAATACACGTATTAAATACCTGTTCTACTACACTGACTTTCTGTTTATTGTAGCTGCTTGCAACTTATGGGATCATTATCTAAATGCAGGGACGTGGACATACGTACAATCGTTGTAACGACTTGTTCATTCCTATTTAAGAGCCCAATTTACCATTTGTAACATGTCCGGCCGTTTCACCCACGCTTGCCTTTAGAAAGTCGATGGGAGCCGCGATAAATACTTAGGTTTCGGCACCGGCGGTTCTAGCATTGTTCTCCGACCACAATAGGATTATAGGATACGGCCATAAAGCTATTTTCACTTCCGCACAACGAGGATTTAGCGTGGAGATCATAGATATGCAGCCACTAAATCTCTCGCCGAAATACAGTCGCTATAATATCAGAAAATGTTATTTCATTATTGCAGTTCACCATTTAATTTTATAGCAAAGGTTTTTACTGTTACTCATTCTGGCTCTTCCAATACGAAGAGAAAATTAGACCAATTGAACCGAACGCTGGGAGATTCTTAAAAGTCCGAATTTTGAGCTCTATTTCTTCTCAATAAAGTTCATTTAAATTTCGAGGCAGAAATGTGAAAGGATGCCCTTAAAATCGAGGACGTCAGAAACCTTCTACAGTGGAAGTGCCGAATAATTAGTATGGTAATTTCGACCTGCTTAGTAAAAACTTAATACGATCGTAGATTTGGGTATAAAACTGTGCCTATCACGCCACTAACCCTTTAGATTAGACCACTTTAAACTTTAGGGATATCTTACAGTAGAAATCTAAATGAAATAGACGTATTTATGTGTGTGCAGATAAGGTTTCTAACTTCTACACCAATTAAATACTTTGCCGAGGAAAAAGTCTCGAAAATCCAAAATGAAATTTCGTGATCAGACAATCGGCAGAAATTAAATTCTGAGTGACTGAAAGCTTATGTATTTCTTTGAAACGAGTAATTTGTTTCTACGCTATACTAAGAAATAGCTATTTACAAACATAGTCAGACAGATTTTATACCTTAGAAATTTTCTCCTCAATAATCGCTCTCGTAACTAGTTTCCAAGTAACAAGTTTAATTAACAAACTAAATCTGTTTTGCTCGCGCTGCCCGGCTCTGTACGCTTATAGCTCGGTCATCTAGCCAACACCCGTGCGAACTGAAACGGCAACGACCAACTAGCATGCATCATTTAATAATAACAGTAACAATTTGGTAAATTTTAACAAGGTATAAAAACGCAACGCGTATAGGTAAAATAAATATGATACAAGCTCAAACCTTTTCTATACTTAAGGAAACCTTGTAAGCTTACGCCTGAGATTTTATTGTAATAAGCGGATTTCACGTTCAGTTGAGGCTCAACTCTGTCTCGACTGTTCAAGGAGAATCAGGTTTCATTGTAAATCTAGATTGTTTTGCTTCGCTCGTATTTCTTTCGTCTTACCGTTAGAGCAAATTAATATCATAATAGGAGTTATTGGGAAGATAAATGGCGACACTCCTTTGTTATCGTCTTGAATTTTAATGCCATTAGCCTGGTATCATATTTAGGGACTGCTCAATTTGTTAATGAATACGTCTTCTTCGTGTAAGCATCGTTGCGCCAGTTTCCACGTCGCGGCCTTTACGGGTCGACTCCACGAAACGGAGACATGCTTCACGGTAATGGTGGCTCTTAGCAAATGAAAACTCGATTTTTACGACGCTTTCTGCGAAATTACTTGGCTGTAAAAGCCGAAAAATATTAAATTTGCGGCGATGTCGGTGTCTCGAGCGGCGCCTTTAATTTCTGCTCACTTGACTTTTAATATTTAAGTTTCATTATCAGGATTTCATAAATATCTCCTTACAGCTTCTTTGTCAAAGTCTTTGGTGTATATTTTTGTGATGTCATGATCAAGTGATCGGCCATTTGAGTGTTTATGGTATTGTTGTTTGTGTTCCGATGTATAACGTGTATTTCACTTGTTGGTAGGGAATGCATGTCATGTACCCGGAGCCGGCGTCGCAATACCACAGCAGTCAGCCCCAGTGCCCGCAGCCAGAGTACCAGCCGGCAGCATCGCCGGCCTTTCAGCAGCCAGCTAAGAAGCGCCGCTTACTGAGCCCCACACAAACGCAACACCATAACGGAATACCACACGCACAGCTTGACAACAGCGGCTACAAGGTGAGAACTTAACACCTACGAACAATAGAAATATTTAACTGTCTGATGACTCCGTTGTATAGTCATATATTCACCACAATCGTCACTTGATACAAGTGATTCCATCATCCTGATAACAACGGCTATATTTCATCGCGTACTGCTGACTTTCCTTACATTACACTTATATTATATAGGTCGTATACGTAACCGACTTAGTCTTAGTTATATAGACAACATACTTCTAATAAATACTTGTTCTTGAGTGTTTACTTGTACCTGACTGAATAAGACTTGTAAAACGAAATAATGGCAATTGTAGTGCTGTTTAAAATGCATTCTGCGATAATTCAACTTTACACAATATATCTCTTTGTCTCGGGGAAAATGTGAGAACACAACGTGACGGGAAAGCAAAGATTTAACACTTTCTACACTACGACGAAGATTTCGATTGATGGAAAATTCCACATTTGTAATACACGACTCATTTTTGCGTAGGAAAGGTTACTTGTAGTGTTTCAACATTCAATATCCATGTAACAATAATATAAATCCAGTCACCTCTACCTGTTATTGATAAACAACTGGTTTTATCGATTCAGGATAACATTTCAATATTTTTGGTTTTCCACAATAGTAGTACCTAATGAGCTAATCTTAGATACTACAACGTAATATGATGCAAACGAGTTTTTATTGGAATTGGTTGTTTTAAAAATAAAGCAAACTAATAAGTAAGTGATTTCATCACTAAACAGCTAAAAAATTTGAAGACAAATAAAAATCCCCAGTATCTATATAGTTGGATTAGAACTTTATTATCAAGGAAGATATTAAGTTTGGATATTATACAGTTTATTTTATAAAACTATCACAAAACTCAGCTGTATTCTGAAAACAGATTCATTTATCCTTCGCAAAAAAGTTGATCTAACAATGTTATAAAAAAAGCACCTCTATAACATACTAGCTACTCTCGCGCGGTTTTACCCGCTGCTCGGCTCCATTTAATCGTAGCGTGATGTTTTATAGCCTATAGCACTCAGGAACATTGTAGCTATCTATCAGATGGATGGATTGATGGAATACTAAGTATATGAGTATTGTTCCAATTGAACAAGTAATATTTCTGCTACACCGGTTTAGTACATAACATGAGCATATGAATGTGAGATAGCATATCTTGTTCCCTTGCCTTTATAGAATATTATGATATCAATATTGATACAAGTCGGTACAAACGCGAATGTCACATCAAGGAGTAATGTGAAGTTAATTTTGCGTGACGCTGAGAGCCATCTGATGAATATGTAATCGCGTCAACACTCACTCCGCAAACGAGGGTGCAGAACTTCAACCGTACGTATTTTCATGTAAATTGATGGTTATAGCGGTCGTGTACTGTAATCACTGCCTTATTTACTTACTCTCCTATCATTTACTCTACGACCGCCAACCACATTTGCCAAATAAACTTGAGTTACAAACTAAACTGGAATTCCACTCCTAAAACTATAATAATCAATTCTCTTGTTGTTGTTTACTGTAATTTGCTCTGTGACAAAGTATTTCATAGCTGAGATGATTTCCCAAGAGAAATTGTCCATGTTTACTCCAATAACAACCACCTGGACCTCATGTTTCGTGGAAATCTAACATACAACATACAGAGAAGTAAATGACCTTCATTATAAATCTAGATCAAGTCTTGCTAAAAATAAAGGCTGTAAGTTTCATTTAGACGGGGTTTTAATGACCCATTGTTTAAGAACAATTCGAGCGCTCAACAATTTTTCATAAAACAGCTGTCGGTCATTTTAACCCACCCCTCACGGTTGCAAACTCCACAACGTGCAGTAGCGCATCTGTCGCGAGATGGTCTTTTTACCGTTAATCAACATCTGGGGCACTTTTGAAAGTATCGCCCGGCGTGCGGATTGTTACTCGACGCAACCGAAATTGGTTTACAGTCCTTTATATTGTGTGTTTAGCAAAGATATTGCACAAGAGAAATACGACTCAGCAGGAATTATTCTTCCTACGAAGTTTCTAGGACAAGAAAGTCCTTAATTGTCAATAAAGCCTACACTGTATATGAAAGACGAAATAGTTACGACAATTTGGCGCAGTAAATACTAATTACAATCGCAATGACTTAGGAAATCCAGTGCAAATTACATTACCGTACACAATTTTCTGCAAAAGCTTTTGTTTGGTGGAATCATCCTTGTTTGCGACCCACATTGAATCTCATTTCATTCTGTCATGTGATCAACACACTCCTGGCTCGCATGTTGCTAAACAATGAGTTCTCAACCTCACTTAATTCAAATCAGAGTTCAGTGCAGACACTCGTATGTCAACATGTCATGGAACACTCTTTTTAATTCGCCAAATGCAATAATTAGTTATGTAACATTGAATTATTCAACGAGTTGCTAATTGACAAACCAATTAATACATTTTCAATTTGCACGAATGACCACGTTGATTTTTATGATTCATTTACGTTTTAACTGAAAAACAGTCGCAGTATTCCGAGGTGAAAAATAATAGAAATGTTTGCGTAAGCGACGCGGCGGGGCCGGCACGTGGATGGGACGCGAGGCCCCGTGATGGCACAACGTGAACCGGCTCGTCACGGGAATACACAACACCGCCTTACTGGAGAGAAAATGTCACATGGACTTGCCTTTCAAGAATTCATTTATTGTCCACTAAAATTTTCGGCCTCCGACCCTTTTCTACAGTTGAACTCCTGGGGAAAACAATACCTGGAAACCAGATTGAATATTCTTGTTATTATCCTTATACCTTTAACGTCTGAAAGTTACATAACAACGCTACATATACGAATATCAGCCGTTTTTCTAATATAAATATTATTGTAATGTTTAAGTTTAGGTAACATGGCGCCGCCGCCACCCCGCAGCTGTACTAAGAAACTAAGAACATCTATTAACTTTATAGCTAAACAGAACAACCTCGTTAGCACGCTCAAAACACGTATTTTTATAGAGCAAAACCCAGTACTAAAATATTTTTACATATCAAAAATTTCGTGAATAACAATTTAATCAGAACTATAACGTTATTCATCCGATACAAGACTTTACGCAGATAGTGTTTAGGTATACTTTTGTGTGTATCAACGAGTGACGCAATAGTGTTTGTTTACGTGGAGCAAAGTGGCTACGTGCATTTAGCGAGCGGCTGGTACGACGTTGCCAAGTCGCGCTTGTGCCAAATTTGGCATCGCGATGATGGTTGCTTACCGAGGCCCGCAACGGCATGACCACTTTTTGTCAGTAACAAGAATTGAGGCACAGCACCAAATCTTGTTTTTGATGTGTCAACTCAACCGAACGCCGCCTGGAGAGATTGCCAAGATAAGCCACACAATGCCGATGTAAATTTCTACCCAGTTGTATAATGGCGGTGTGATCTTATGGCCTGAACTCGTTGCTACTATTTTAGGTTTTATTATTGCAAGTATTTGCTTGCACTGTTCACTGCGGTCGACGTCAACATGAATAAATAAATAAATGGGTCCGACAATTGAATGTCACGATTATCTTATTGCCGGAGCGACGTTGCCACTCGGCGGACCTTTACTCGCTGTTTTGCTGATGGCTGCGTCAAAAATGCTTCACATCTTTGCTTTTGCGCATTACATTTCCAGTTTTTACTAAAGTGGGAAAATAATTACTATTGCGACGGTCTTTTATTGAACTTGTTATTTTATGTTCATATTCCATGTTCATTTTATTTCTAGAGAAAATTGCTCCTCATGTTTATTTTATGCATTAAATTAATAAAAAGGTGTTTTTTCTGTTCACATTCAATATAGGATGGCCATATTTAATTAAACACATTGTGACGTGATATTGATACGTGATTTTGATATTATAATAATATCCCAATGTGTATTGGTGCGACATATCGGCGATGTGTAAACGATCACTTACATTGTCCATATATATAAATCCGAGGGAACATTATACGCCTTGACATCATTTGCAAATTCAGCGCGAAGGATCGCTTGTTTTTGTTCACAAGTCGGCGTTGCATCGTGTTTGTGCAATGAAGATTTCGTGATGTGATGTGATGGGCGAATTGGCACCGCCGGACCATACAGGTCAGTAACCCGCGATGCCGCTCTCTCCCCGCGTCCCTCGCATTACGTAACAGCTGCGCTGTTGCCACACCGACGACATTGCCAAAGTCGATAGCTCCATGTCGATCATTCGCGCCTGGTAATCACGTCTTATCAAAATTCAAAAACCGCTGCCCGTGTCGGTCGTCCAGACCGGTTTATCTACAAATTTCTTCCATGCAAAAAAGAAACTGCTCTGATGTAATTTAAGCCGGCACACAAGCTGGGCTTCAATTCTCGTATTTTGCATTAACGCCATGCGACACTGAAATCCACAAAAACGGTCGAGCTATATACCAGATCGATTAGTCAGTGTCACAAACTTTCACCTCCGTGCACCGTAGGATATTGTATCTCCGGGTCAGAAACGTTAACTTTCACGGTCGTTACTGATATAGCTTTTGTGCTTGTTCGTGCGACCCCGTCAAATGAAAACCATCAATTTGCCCGCTGCACTGTAGCAGCCTGGCGACGCTAATGTTCGCATGCTAGGGCTCATTCCCAAGGTAGATACATCGACACCGAGCCGGCTCCGTTTCCATCGATGTCAATCGATACATTCACGACTGGCTCTGAAGTGTGTCGTTAGCTTGCGACTGGCCTACCTATTGACTAATATGACTGGGTCATGTTACACCGCGTGCTTGCGATCGCTGTCTGTACCACATTGATTTATAGACACACTCATCGGTGCCACATAACGTGTACCGAGCTCCATACAGGTACATATGTAGTCATATCAAAGAAACGTGATGAAATGAACCTCTCGGCATGTAACAACCGCTTTTGGTACTAACACTAACATGGACAGCGCAACGGTATCGACGTTCGATCATCTTTAAATATATTCTAGGCCTATAGT